TGTCTCGCGTTACAATTCCATCGCTGTCGCTGGCGCGTGATAATACGTAAATATGCGGCAGATAATATTTCGTCGAGTACCGGCCGTGTCGGTCAAAGAGCGTTTTTACGAGTGCGGGTAAAATTAAATGGTTTTTATATGATTTACGAGTGCAACACGCGACGCGCATAAATATCGACTCGTCTTCGTATGAAAAGAGAGCTCAGGGGACGTATGTCGCTGAGAACAACTAAGTGAAATTACTTTACGTTCGCTCGTCTAAAAACTAGTTCATCCCCTGTAAATTATGAAGACAGAGAGAGAGCATACTAGATATAACTTGACACGTGTTTCGAAAGTACTCGAATCTTAGACCGGTGGACAAGATGGAAAAATCCTCGGAGACTGGAATTTCTTTTGGCGATAGATCGTGGAATCTTATTAAGTCAGAAAAAAAAAAGATTGAAGCTTATGAATAAAATATTGAATATTTGATAATCTCATAAAAGTTTCCTTTGTCAGGAACATGCAAGCACGACAATCTTGTTGTTTGTCATCAGTAATAATCTTACTAGATTTTGCAGTGATATTAGTATGCGTAGAAATTATGTAAAATTTTTCGCGATCTTATCTTCGACAGCTTTTTATTTTTTTAACTTTCCCCTCTCCCGAGTTTGCTGGATGAAATCTGTGGCACGAATGTATACATCGGCCGATGCGATGGTAATCTAAATTACATGTTGGTAAATTAACATGCCTGCCCTGCGATCTTCGTGAAACGTTAATGAACCATAAGTAGAAACGCGTATGGCAGGCAGATGAGGAGGAGATAAAGACAGAGAGAGAGAGAGAGAGAGATAAACAAAGAGAGATGTATTTGCGACCGCCTCGGTAAAAGGAAAATAGCAGAGATCGCATAGAAAGATTTGTGTGTGGAGAGGAATGAGTACCTCAAATGGCTGGGAACATTTTCTCGTTGGTGAAAGGCAAAACACCTATCGTCCTAGCTCTCTCTCTCTCTTTCTCTCTCCTCCATCTATTCGCTCGCGTTCCCTTTTGTTGGAGGATCGATGAACTCTGTCCTTGTGCGCAACAATGAAAGGGAGGAGGACGGGATTCGTACTGTCTCTCTTTTAGGAAAGATGAGAAGCGAAACGATTCCCCCCGTTTCTCCCCTTGAAGCACGCGCGTCAGAAAGCAACGATCTTCCTCAGTACGACGCAATGATCCTTCAGAGAGGTATGCGCTTCAAGAGTATCATGTCCTTCATTTGTTATCTGTTTATTCGCTCACAATGGAAAAGCTGAGGAAAGAAATCAATTACCGCCGCGAGGGATTACTTTACTCCCGCAATGTGATCTTAAGTATTAAATTAATAATTTCACACGCGGCACATTATTTAATTCTGCATTTTACCTCATCAATCGGGATCACTTTGGGTGGCTTTTTTTTTTTTGCTTTTTTCGTGGTAATTTTTTTTACTGTATCACGATTGATATTTAATCATTAAGCCTTTGTTTGATTTTCTTTTAATTCTTTTAACATGATTTGCAAAATACCAGTCTTAATATCATCCCTATTAGGAGAGATGATAATAATAGAGAATTAACGGGTTCCCTCAGAGAGCCATGATGGCGGTTAAGTACTTACGGATACATTCAGTTATCGGATTATTCCGGCTAACGGGATTCCACCTCGGCACGTTCCAGGGTTGGAAGTGCTCGTGGCATGATCATCGGCGTCCATCCAATGACCGATTTATAGCTCCTAGATTCTATAGGTTAAACGAAACAACATTCAGACACACGTTGCTGTCCCTTTAAAATTTCGAAAACAAGAACGACTCATGTTAAATCGCCCAGTCAAATTAAGGGGATTAATTACGAGGTGGAGTTTTTTTTTTCTGACGAGAACGATTACGATTTATTATTTATTATATACAGATTCGCATGCGCTTTAAAAGAAGAGGCAATTACGGATCCACGGAAAACGACTTGACGACGCCACGAAATCTTGCAAATGGATCTTCCCTCTGTACTTTACCTCCCTCAAGAACTTATCGCCTACGTCGTTTAATCTATCTGGCCATCTATTCAGCACGTTGCGCGTCGTGCGACGCTGTAACAATGACCTCATTCCATAAACTCCTGGCATACTCTGGAGAGCATAAAAATGTGCTGGCTGTTTATAGCGAGAGACGTGTACAGAAAGCGGCTTTTCATCGGCCGTGCGTTATATCCAGTTACGGCCACAACCCTCTTCCAAAGTCATAAGCCAGGCCGGTTAACCAGTTATACGTTGATCCACGCGGAAGGGAAGGACACATGG